ATATATATATATTTAGAGGAGGGTTATAATAAGTGTAACTTTTACTAAGTCTTACACCGCTCAATATAAAGTGATATGAAATTTCAATCTAACGATTGAATTTACAAAATTCACATTTAATATAAAGTTATTGAGCGATGTAACACTTAGTAAAAGTTACACCGATATTATTTATTATAGTTCTGGAACGGGCTGTTCTGAAACCAGAACAAGCCGTTCTGGTTTCAAAACAGCTGTTCTTCCGTACTCGTGGTGTGTTAATTTTGCATCTGGAACGGCCCGTTTCAGATGCAAAATTAACACACCAAGTGTGCACCCAGAACGAGCCATTCTGGTTTCAGAACGGGCCGAACAGACCGTTCTGGTTCCAGGTGTTTTCAAAATATTTGGCATCCACATATGCATCTACGTGACATCCACGTGGCCAACAGTTAACTCCGTTTAAATAATTTAGACGAAAGTCCCACATTGCAACCAATTAATTTATTAAGGACACCAAATTGAAACCAAAAATAAAAGTAGGATTAAATTGAAACAAACAATTATTATAAGGACCAAAATAGGTTTTTAGCCTTTATTTATTGTTTTACTTGTCAATTGAATATCCGTATTTTGTTTTTTACTCGCTCTTTTTTCTTTTTTTTTTCTGATTTGAAATTATAAAACTTTACGTATTTCATTAATCTGGAAAATAAATATTTAATTCAGAAGAAAAAATTAGCAAATATGTTGTTTTGGTTAACGTATGTGTAAAAACATTATAATCATAATCGAAAACTCGTTTATTTTTAAACTACACTTAAGAATAAAAGGTTTAACACGAGTGGTTGAGTAACGTGAGTAAATTATAAGTCTCTGTTGAATTAGATTATTATGAACAAAAAGAAACTAGATTTAAGATCTTATAAAAGAAAAGCCTACACTCAAAATATTATTTTTGCGGCTTAAAAAACAATTGTATTATTGACAAATCAGGAATAGGCATTAGTTATTTACCCTTTATATCTTGAACGCAGATTTGAAAGGAGAGGGAAAGGTTTTTATAAACTTTATTTTTGGTTAAGTTCAATTTTTAGGAAGAGAATAAAATTTTTGTTATCTAATTTTAGTTTCCTTTGGATATTAGAAGGATTTGAAGGGAAGAAGGTTTTAATTTTTTTTAATATAATCTACTAAATATCTTTATTTATATTTTTAATTTTAAAATAATAAAGTTTTAAAACTTTCCCCTTTATATTATGAACAAATAAGAAAAGATTACATTTTCTTCTTACCTGTCAACCAAACAAAATTTTTCAATGTAAAAAAAATATTTTCAATTTTTCATTATTAATAAGCCATATTTGATTTAATTTTGTTTTATTTCTTCTATTTATAGTTTATATATATATATATATATATATATATATATATATATTTCATTCCTTGTCCTAAAATTTTGGTATTTATTTTTAAAAGCTTTGAATCGATCTTCAATTATAGCTTTCTTTATTTTTTATCCTTCCTAATCTTTCTTAATTTTCAATGTTATTGCAACTATTTAAGAGCATAAAATATTTTTTACTTTATATTATACATTTATGCTCTTTTTTTTTTTTTAGTACAGAGGGTTGCTGGGCATTCTCTGCAATTGCAGCAGTGGAAGGGATTAACAAGATAGTAACAAGCAATCTAACTACACTGTCAGAGCAAGAACTGCTAGATTGTGACAGAACAGTCAATGCAGGATGTAGTGGCGGACTTGTGGATTACGCGTTTGAGTTCATTATCAACAATGGTGGCATCGACACAGAAGAGGATTACCCTTTTCAAGGTGCTGATGGTATATGTGATCAACACAAGGTTAGTTTTAACTTTGATAAATTAGTAAATGCCTCTAATAGTTTCATCATTGTATTTTTATATAACCTTTTTTTCTTATCTACAGAAAAATGCTAGAGTTGTTACAATTGATGGTTATGAAAGTGTTCCTGCCTATGATGAATTAGCCTTGAAGAAAGCAGTAGCAAATCAGCCAGTGAGTGTTGCCATTGAAGCAGGTGGCAAGGAGTTTCAATTATATGAATCAGTAAGTTTCTTAATCAATTTACTTGAAAAGTAAAGGACTAAGCACACCTACATTGTGAGTAGAGAGTTTGTTAAAATTAGCAAAGCATTACATTTAAATTAATCTAATATATTTAGATAAGTTGAGAATTTTGTTCAATTCTCAATTATAAATTACATTAACATTGCTTCTTGTTTACGAACTTAATTGGTGTATTTTATTTGTCTCAATTTTACCAGGGTATATTCACAGGATCATGTGGGACAATAATAGATCATGGTGTTGCAGCTGTTGGGTATGGAACAGAAAATGGAATAGACTATTGGATCGTCAAGAATTCTTGGGGTACGGGTTGGGGAGAGGCAGGCTATGTAAGAATAGAACGTAATATAGCAGGAGACACTGCTGGAAAATGTGGAATTGCAATTTTATCATTCTATCCCATAAAGAGGGGCCAAAATCCAATAGCTAGTTCAGGGTTTGGAGGATTTTAAATCCCCTAAATCCTAAACCATCTGCTCTTTCACTAGTTAAGCCACCGCATGTTTGTGATAATTCCTTCAGTTATATTGAAAATAGCACTTGTTATCTCCTTCTAATTAAATTTATCTTTTTAAGTGGAGATGTACTTATGAAGATGCAGTTTTTTGTGGTTTTCACATACATTGTTGCTTGCCTGGCGATCCCATTTGCAACATTGCAAAACAACTCTTTGAGTAAAGTAGGGTTAGTTTCAAACTGTATTTATCAAGTTGGAGTTGTTGAAAAATGGAGGAAGCGGAAGCAGTAATGTGAAATATTGACCAAATTGTTAGCAAAATTCTTCTTTTACACGGATGATAATATTGACCTTAAGAACTTATTCGTACTATATGTGCAAGTTTTACAAGATATAACAGGGTTGAAGAGTATAAAGTAAGAAGAGAAATTAAAGAAGAAAGATTTGAAGTATAAGAGGTGTTTAAAATAATGAGGCGAAATCTTCTATTTATAAACTTGAGGAGCTCAAACAAAGTCCATAATTAGTACATAATTTAATGTAATTGAAAATGATAAAATTTTTAGATCCCATAATCACACGTATAGGATGAATAAATTAATGAATTTGCGATACAATAAATTTATGAGACTCATTTTCATAGATGTGAGTCTACCACTTTATACTTATCTTTTTGGAAGTGTAAACAATGTTTTGATATATAGACATTTAAGATTTACTAGATTTAAGAGACTCATTTTCATAGATGTGAGTCTACCACTTTATACTTATCTTTTTGGAAGTGTAAACAATGTTTTGATATATAGACATTTAAGATTTACTAGATTTAAGTAATGTGAGACTTCTTTCAAAATACACTTTATATATGCATCAAGAATCATATAAATACAAATGATCCCTTTCAAGTAGTCAACCCACAAAGACACATGTTTAACCTAAGTATTTGTTGTCAACACACAAAAATACCTAAACCTCACAGAGGGAGCTTATGGATATAAATATTATAAACTTTGCTTAAGCAAATGATGACCAACTTCATACTCATTTCCTAGCTTTTCTCTTATGAAAAAAATATAGAACAATAAATGTTTTTCATTAGGAAATGTATTATATTATAAAATCTCAATCAATTAAATTATGATGGTTATCATTAGTTTCATACTTTTGTAGTTTAATCATTTACTAACGTTGGAATAAAGTTGTGTTCACATGATAGTAACTAATGGATGTAAGTAATAATGTTAGGTATTTTAATTTTTAAAGTGTGATTCTATAAAGACGAACTATTTAATAAATATTAAGACCATCAAATTTTTTATCATTTAGATAATATATAAAGATAATTTTTTTGAATTAATATAGAAGATAATTAATAAAATAAATAAAATCCAAGGAAAGTTTAAGAGTTTAAAAAATATAAATTGATGTTATCATAATTGATCAATGATTGACTCGATCAATACTCTGGATTAATAGGTCTTTTTTGAACTAATAGGTCCATATTTAGATTACATGAATCGATATGTATAATTTTATATTGATTCTATAATATAAAAATAACTTTTTGTCAATGATTTACTAGTGTTACGTGTTGATGTAGTGGTTTTTTACCTCTTAAGAAATCCAAAGTTAGTTTTTATTACAAAAAATAAGGAAACCCAAAGTTCGATTCCTATCAAGTGCAAATTTTCATTATTATTTTTTTTCTGAATCACTCACGCAAGAAAATAAACAATTTATGACATTAAAATTTTCATTACAAGTTGAATTTTTTTTAATCCCATGTGTATTGATGTGGCAAACTTTTGCTGGAATGAAAAGAAATGAGACAAGATTTAAATCTGAGACGTGTATATTAAAGAGTTAATCACCTATACATTGTAAGTATAAAGTTTTTTATACTGGCAACTAATCAGATCTGTTAATAGTTTCATGTCATTTGCTCATTTAATTAAATTAAAATAAAAAAAGACACTATTAACAGATCTGATTGGTTGTCAGTGTAAAAAATTTTACACTGTTAATATATAGATGATTAACTCTAGGGATGGCAAAAGGGGCCAGCCCGGCCCGTTTTGGCCCGGCCCGCCATTGGCCCGCCCAGTCGGGCCGGTCCGCTAGTGTAAAACGGGCTGGGGGTGCTAGCCCGCTCCGTCTAAGGACGGGCTGGCGGGCTGGCGGGCCAACCCGCATACAAAAAAAAAAAGAAAAAAAAAATATTTTATGTTCAAATAAAAAAAATTTGCTACAAATAAATAAATATAACCATATGAAATTAAAAATACATACATATTATACACAATATATGTTCAACAAAAGAAAATTACAAACCTAGAACAAAATCAAATAGAAATTAGTCCACTTACACCAAAATCAAAACCAAATTATAAACTTACAAATTACTTATAAACTAAATTTTTTTAGTCCACAAAACAAGTTCAAATACAATTAATTAACTTTGAATTTTTATTTTAAGAATATTAGAAATTCTCTTAGAAGAAGTTTTCTCTACTTTTTTTTTATCATCTTCATCCTCATCTTCTACATCAAAATAAAATAAACATAAAAATAATTAAATTAAAAAAATTATATATATATGCAGGCTGGCGGGTTGACCCGCTATTTAACCCGGCGAGTTGGCGGGCTTGGCAAGTTGGCAGGTTATTATGATAAGTCCGACCTGCCAATTTTTGACGGGCCAACAGGCCGACTCGTAAGCCACGACCCACTTTGCCATCCCTAACTAACTCTATATTAAAACCTTTGACAATTTATGACTACATGTTTGCTAACGAAACACTACGTCTTTAATGCTCCTTTTAAATGTTAGTTAATTGTGTTACCCAAACTTTTACTAGCCATCCCCAATTCCCCATATTGAATTAAGTAAGGTAGTACATTATAGAAACAAAATGCGACCGTGCACCCTTGTCTCTATTGGGGTTATTTTTTGGTATTTGCTTGAGAAGATATTTTATGAGTTATTTTTCTAAGATTATTACACGATGAGATATTGTCCGCTTTAGGCCTTAGCCCTCGCGATTTTGTTTTTGGTCATCACCCAAAAGGCCTCTCAATCATTGAAACCCAAAAAGCCCGGCGAGTTGGCGGGCTTGGCAAGTTGGCAGGTTATAATGATAAGTCCGCCCTGCCAATTTTTGACGGGCCAACAGGCCGACTCGTAAGCCACGACCCACTTTGCCATCCCTAATTAACTCTATATTAAAACCTTTGACAATTTATGACTACATGTTTGCTTCGAAACACTACGTCTTTAATGCTCCTTTTAAATGTTAGTTAATTGTGTTACCCAAACTTTTACTAGCCATCCCCAATTCCCCATATTGAATTAAGTAAGGTAGTACATTATAGAAACAAAATGCGACCGTGCACCCTTGTCTCTATTGGGGTTATTTTTTGGTATTTGCTTGAGAGGATATTTTATGAGTTATTTTTCTAAGATTATTACACGATGAGATATTGTCCGCTTTAGGCCTTAGCCCTCACGGTTTTGTTTTTGGTCATCACCCAAAAGGCCTCTCAATCATTGAAACCCAAAAAGCCTTTCAATCATTGAAGTATATTTGTATTATATAAGTTGTTATTTCTTGTCTTATTTTATCGATGTGGGACTTGTTTGTATATCAACAGTCTAGGTATCCCACTCCCACCTCCAACTCCAATCACGAAAGAAAAATAGAAGATGGGTAGTAATAGATCTGGCATGGTCACAATTTTCATTGTGTTGTTGAGTAACGAGTATATACGAAGCATGGGAAGGTGTACAACGCCCTGGCCAACAAGGAAAAGAGGTTTGAGAATTGAGATCTTCAAAGACAACCTCAAATAGTTAAGTTATCCACAAACACAATGCTCAAAACCGGACATACAAGGTGGGACTGAACAGGTTCGCTGGATATTAACTAGTTCCTACATAGACCTTCTCTTGACACTTTGATCACAATGTTTTTTCAAAATTGATAAAAATCATATGCACGTGTTTTTTTTCTTCTTTTTTTTGCTTCAGTAACTGACATGGAAGATAAATCGCTTTTATTGCATAATGCAACTGATAATTTTATCTCTTTATAGTTTACACAATAATGAATATCTCTCCTTTTTATATATGGGAGCTGAAGTGTTCCTCTTCTACTTATCTGACTTTTGTTTCTATCTCAAAATATCATTACAGGTTTATCTTTCTGACATTGAAAAGCTTATAAAAAATAGTTCTCTCCTCTCTGTAATATCTTGAAATGTAATAAAAAATTTTGATTTATTTTCTCTATTTTAGTAAGCATATGCTTTTTATTCTCCATTCCTTGTTCCAACATTTTAGTAAAACTTCTCAAAAGCTTTGAATTTAGCCTCATTCTTAGCTTTCTTTATTTTATTTTATTTGTAGCCTTCCAATATCTTGCTTAATTTTCAATATTATTTCAACCATATAAGGTCTTAGAATGTTAATTTTACATGTGTTGTCTAAGTCTTCCTCTCTCTCTCTCTCTCTTAATACAGGGAGCTGTTGGGCATTCTCAGCAATTGCTGCAGTAGAAGGGATTAACAAGATAGTAACAGGCAATCAAACAGATGGATTGTGACAGAACAATCAATGCAGGATGCGATGGAGGACTTATGAAGTATGCTTTTGAGTTCATTATTAACAATGGTGGCATTGACACAGAAGAAGATTACCCCTATCTAGGTGTTGATGGTACATGCGATCAATATAAGGTTAGTTTTAACTTGATTATTTAATAACTTAATAAATGCTTGTAATACTTTCATTGTGATACTTATATAGTTTTTTCCTGTCTCTAGAAAAATGCTAGAGTTGTTACAATTGATGATTATGAAAGCGTTCGAGCATATGATAAATTAGCCTTAAAAAAGGAAGTAGCAAATCAGCCAGTGAGTGTTGCCATTGAAGCAGGTGGCAGAGAGTTTCAATTATATGTATCAGTAAGTTTCCAAATCAATTTTACTTGACAGCAAAGAAAGGGCACACGTATACTTTGAGTAAAGAGAAAAAGTTAAAACTATCAATGCATTACATTGAGATTTTTGTTCAAATCTAATATAAATTACATTAACATTTCTTCTTGTTTACTAGCTTAATCAGGTGTATTCTATATTTCTCAATTTTACCAGGGTATATTCACAGGAAGATGTGGGACAACATTAGACCACAGTGTTACAGATGTTGGGTACGGAACAGAAGATGGAATTGACTATTGGATCGTCAAGAATTCATGGGGTGAGAGCTGGTTATATCAAAATGGAACGTAATTTAGCAGTAGGCACTAGGCAGAGCAGGAAAGTGTGGAATTGCAATTTTGTCATCCTATCCCATCAAGAAGGGTCAAAATCCCCCAAACCCTGGACCATGTCCTCCTTCTCCAGTTAAGCCACCATATGTTTGTGATAATTACTATAGCTGTCCTGAAAGCAGTACTTGTTGTGTTTCCGAGAATGGAAATTTTTGAAGCTGCCTCTTGCTGTAACCTGCTGCCCGCATGACTATCCTATTTGCAACGTTTATGCATGGACCTGGCATAAGGTGAAGTCCAACATCAATTAGTAAAGATAGTAATTTTACCATTAATGATATGCCTTTGCATTCTTACTCACACACATAACTGATGATTTGAATTTGTCTATTGCAGAGTAGGAATAACCCATTTGGAGTGAAGGCAATGAAGAGAATTCCAGCCAAACCCCACTCGGAGTTTACAAGCAGGAACAAGATAAACTTGGATTAAGCAAATCATGACCAACTTGGTACTTATTTCCTAGCTTTCATCTCACGAAGGTGAAATATATAGAACCAACCATAAATGCTTGAAATTGGGAAACCACGGATTTATGACGTGTCATATGCTTCTCTCTATTTATGTTGGGTGATGGACTATATTATAAATCTCGATCAACAAACCTATGTTGATTATTAGTTTCATACTTTTGTAGATTAATCATTTATATACGTTGGAATTTTTTTTTTTAATTTACATGGTGATCAAAAAACACTGTAATTAAACACATCGATTAATTCTTTCTAAATGAGAAGTAATAATATAATATGATGCTATACTTGTTACAATATATATATATATATATATATATATAGAGAGAGAGAGAGAGAGAGAGAGAATGTGCATGAAATTGGGAGAATCAGTTGATCAAGTGAACATAAGCTTCATGATGTGGAACAGTGTGGAGTGTAGAATAGGGAGATATATCTACAACATGCATATGCAAAAGTCAATTGCTTCTGCTTTAGCAACGCCTTTCACTCTTTTTCTAACATTAGCTCCAAGTTGAAACTGAAATCTCCGATAAATAGTAGATTACTGAAATGGTACATATAATAAGATCCTTTGACATTACAATGAAGGCAATAACCGAATACGTGATTACGGATGAGGATTCTCTGTAGTGAGAAAATGAAGAAAATTTGTCAACCTTTAATTTATTTACTTTTTTAGTAATCTCAAACAACAAACATATGTTGATTATTATTAGTTTCATTGTAATTTATTCACAAGCATTAATTGGTTGAGGTTAAACCTTAAATAGTAATGATAATCAATCTATATAACCACTTTATACATCATAGTTGAATTTAAGTGACAATATATTTGGGTGACAAGAATATCTAATAAGGCGTGTGACAGTTTGTGTACACATAAATTGATATCCAAGAAACAGTACATTGTAGGGGGACCAGGGCTCAAATACTAATTGTCACACAGAGCAGCTTGATGCTATGTCCCTGATTTCAACTATCACTTCATTTCGTTTTCAACACCGCCCCCACAAGATGGATGGAACACCACACTTCCCAGGATAGGCCACGCTGTCCATCCATCCATCCCCAACACGCTACTCTAATCTCTAACCCCATCATAGGATCATCATCATCCATCAATCATCACTACAAAACTTGGTTTCACATTATTTTCAATTATTAGGCGGCACCAATATTTTTTTCACACCATGGAAAAAAGACGCAAAGCTTGTACACAAACAAAGTTTTGCTCTAAATAATGTCTGCATTTCATTGATAATTACATAAATGTGCAGAAAGAAACAGTAAGAGTGGTCGCTATGATTGATACATTGTCGGCCACCCATAAACATGCCACAATACATAATGCTAAGTTGCGGAAAAGTGGAATAAAATAAGTAACTAAACTAACCACTTCTTAACATACTAATGACTACTCTGATTAAGAGTCATTATGGTCAAAGTTCATGTCCTTTATGCTGCTTGTTCAAGGAACCAACCTTTCCTTTCTGATCACCATCATGGGTAGTAGGATGAAATTCGTAGTCCTCAATCTTCACTCTCTGAATGGTGCTTTGTGTCCCTGCATTATGGAGTGGGATTCTAGATGGTAGCTTTGATAGAAAAGCTCCAAAACTGCAAGGCATGGTTGGTAATGATAAAGTAGGAGGACCTGAACAAAGAGATGGGCATAGTGCCCCATTCTGAGGGGGGTTCCAGCCTATATCATAGGTAGAGAGAGGCATTCCATTGCTTTCTATGAAACTAGGCTTCACAATGTATGGATGTTGGATGGGTAGGTATGGTCTTTGAATACCAAATACTCCTGGTATGCTTTGAAGGTAGCTAAATTGCCTTTGTATGTTGATCACCAGATTTAGGTCCTCTGCAATCTAAGGAACATGTGAAATAATTAATAGTGGTGGAAATTTTGCAAGAATGGAGAAACATTACGGGTGAGAAAGTGATGTACCTTGTCAAAAGAACCCAATTGCACTACGCCTTCTCTAACGGCGATTATGACAATACTCTACCAAAGTCAATTAATAATTTTAGTCATTTGCTTTTTCTATTATTATGTGATGTTTTTGAACGAATTTTACCAACCTGAATGCCGGAATTGAATTGAAACTTCCACGCCTTTGGTTGCTGTTGGGTATATGTTATCAAGACAAGTGCCACGAAAATTAAATAAATAAAAAAGGGTCAACCATTAACAATTAAGAGAGAGTGGAAAAATATGAAGAATTGTTTACACTTTACAATCATTTCTGTTTATAAGGATTTGTCTTACAGGCTCGACTGAAGCATTCCATGAAGCAATCTGGCTAGGTTCACACTCATTGTGATTCTCATTGTAAACCCATTTGTGATTGTTATCTGCAGCAACTTTTCCCAGTAGTCTACAGTTATAAATATCAAATGATGGATTATTATTTTGTCCCTCTTGCTTCACTTGAAATTTGCAATGCAACTTTTGGAAAACAGACGAAAAGATAATGAATCTTGCTATGGCAAGAAAATGAAAAGGTAATGTGAACGCTCACCCCTCTCCATAATTGTAAACCTCGTGTGACATTTTGAAGAATATATCAGCTCCAAATCTATTGTTCAAGTAACCACCATCACTTTTCCTTTGCTCGCATTCGTTAAAATCGCAGAACCCATCTTCCCAGACAAGGATCCTAACCAAGGAAAACTCATTTTGGTTGGTCAAAAATGAATTAGTGAAACAACATTGGTTTGTTTATCATAGTTGCATACTAAATTACCAGTTCCTTTTATATCCTTTGGAGAGATCAAAAGCTGTTCCACCAAACTCCCACCTGTAACATAGCAATCAATATATCAAACTACAAACACAGCCAAAATTCTCCGTGACTAAATTTAGTCACTATTACCTTATTTTCTTGTATTTGTTCTTCAGTGTTACATTGTTTATATACTATTAGTTTAATTAGATACAAGTTTAAAGAGCTTCTCTACCAGGAAAAAAAATTAAAAAGAAACTCTTTCAATATCCATTACTTACCTTGGTGGAGGAAAATTTCGAGGTAATATCCTCCAGAAGACAGTATATACCCACTTGGAAGAAGTGGAAGAATTGGGAGAAATGCAAATGGTTCTGAGAGTCTGCTGCAAGAGACAATTAAGCAAAGGTAATCCACTTTCCATCTTCTACTAACACGAAGAAAAGAGAATGGGGAAATGAATGAGAGCAACAAGATTAATATGCAAAGAAAGTGATGGTACCCACCAAAGTGGGGGTGATCGTGCTCCTTGTAAAAGACAATTCGAGTTGTTGTAATTTTACAGTGGGACCTGGGCGTTCACATTTCCCCTTCTACTTTGGTTGACTGGTGAAAGCATTTATAACAAGAGAAATCCTAAGGTTAGAATTTGATATTTCCATTACACTAGTTAGCACTACAAGTATCTTAGGTAGGAAAACCTTATTTATTATGAGTTGCCTCCTTTTCTCATGAATTCTTAACTCTTTCCATTCCATCATCTCCCAATTTGTTGAGTTACATCCGGTTCAGCTGTGTAATGAATATATTTAACAGTTGATTGTTGCTTCTGTTAAGACTGTTAACTTGCACTTTGTTATTATGAGAATTGAGGTTTGAGATCTCTAAGAATACTATTGCAACCAATAGGAGATAAATATATGTAAAAGCCTATTTGACGCTCAAATCAGTAACGATTATGTACTACCAATTTTTCCATACTATATCATTATGTTTTGGTGTAAAGATAAAATAGCTTTACTTCAAATCAAAATATGGTTTACTGTTCGCAGATATATTGCATAGATCCTGCATTCAAGTGTTAAGTTTAATCAACACTTGAGTTGATGCAAAACTTTAGACTGAGATGATGACTCATTATGCGAATTGGCTTGAATTCTTGCGTTGAGAAAGAGGCTTAACTTACAGCAACTGTTGATTCGCATGTTGTGTTATTTTGATCCTTTAAAACACCTAATTAGAGTTAGGTCCTTATCAACTATGCCACAACTACTTGTCTGTAGTAGAAGTGGTCCTGTTGGATGAAAATTGATTTCAACTCTGGTTTTGCACATAGTAACAAAGTGGCTTTTGTTTTCCGGCATGGACCCTCAAAGCATTGTGCGACCTCCTCTCATTAATTTGACATTAGTACAACTTGAGTGTTGTACTTGGACAACAAGACAAGCTAATTTAAGTAATTGAAGTTAATGAATTGAATGTAATCTCTCAGTCTCACCACCTCCTATTTATTTTTAAGTTAAAAAAATTAGTTCTTGCATATTCTAATAATTTTTTTTAATATAAACATGTGGAGATCAATTTAGTCACATATATACCTCAGCAGTTTAAAATTAATTTTAGCAAGTTCTAAATCAAACGAGTGTAATTAGAGTGAGTTAGAATAGTATATATAAGATATAATGTTCAAACTTTATTGCTGTGTTTGCTTTAAAATATCAAATGAGTGCATACTCATCACTTTTCACTCATTAATAAAAATAAAAATAGAATAGGTTCACTTAAAAAAAATACAAAAATAAATGACAATAGTAAAAAAGATAAAATAATAAAGAGTTTCTTTTACATCTATAATCTATAAAACTAATGAAGAGATATCATTTTTTTTTTGGATCAGCAAAGAGATATCATGTAAATTCTTTTGAACCATTTTACTCTTTAATTAATTTGTTTAACTATCCATTATTCTAAAGTTAATTACACACTTTTGTAATTTCATTATTTCTAAAAAAAATTTGTTTTACAGCAAGGCAAAAGTGTTTTTATTTTTCACTTGTGTATCATAATATTAGTCTATTTTCTGTCATTCTAATTCTTTTACTGATAAATAAAAAAGGCAGGGAGTGAGCCATGCATCCCATGGGCTGAGCAAGCAAACAGATTGACAGGTACAAACAATAAACCTAAGAGAGCCCCACTCTTCCGTTCCATCTTTTCATACTTGTTCCCCCATTGGCATTTATTATCTCCATCTTTTTTAACGAATGCAACACCCCAGCGACAACACTCTTGGCACATAATTATTTTAACTCGGATTGGTATGACTAGTGATTTTATGTTGCTATGAATTGGGAGAGAAAATAAGAGTTGCATAAGCGAAGAAAAAAGTATAATACATCACAAAAAATATTTTTTATATTATATCATTAATATATAAATATATTTAATAATACATCATACCATTCAACTAATAATTCATAAGTTCAACTAGTTATTCATTGACTCAATATTTTGATCGAATCGATCATCGGTCCAATATTGATAATGAAGTGTAAAAGTTGAAATATTTTTCTAGAAGAAAAAAAATAGAATGTAAAAAATGTTTTGACTTGATGATATTTTTTATTTTTTATTTTATTTTTTTCCATTATTAAATTTAAATAAAAAATAAAATGGATTGATTTGATTTGTCTCAATAAACTAACAAAGTAAAATAGTTAAAATCAAATGGTCAAAACAATTTAGTTTAAGACATTAAAGTATTTTAGTTCATATTACAGTTTAGTTTAAACTTTTAAAATAAGGTCCAATTAAGTCTATCAAAAAATAATTTAATTTAGATAAGTCATTTTTTTACTTTAGTTTAGACAAATCATTTTTTTCGGTTCATAGAAATTTTATAAGTTTAATTTATTTTGTTCTCTCCTATTTGCTTGAAAATAAATTTATGTACACAAAAAGATAATAGAGTCAATAAATTTTGATGATTCCATGTAGGATACCAAAGTGTAAGAATTTTTTTTAGTTTTATAGAAGAATAATTATGGATGTAATTGAAGATTGCATCATCATCACATTGTGTTGGGACCAAGATATCCCCATCAATAGGGTTCAATTGGATGAAAGGTTGAGGTGAATCAAAAGGCCAAATGACGTGGTTCACTAAAGGAGGAAAGTGTTGGAAGGTATGAAAGAGTGAAGTTTTGAACTTTGGAACCACTTTGTCAAAGAAAAAAGAAACGTGAGAGCGTGGATGGGAAAGAAAATAGAGAATATCTGTGAGTGATCGCAATAGAGTTTTGATTAAATTTGTATTTTACAAGATGTCATTAAATATGTAATTTTATTAATTTACATATTATATTAACAAATCTTGACTCATAAATTATTGTAAATTACTTATGACTTCAATAACTATCTTAATCACATATGAATTTTGTTTTCTATGCTGTGAGTTCATCAAACTTGTGATTACTTGGTGCTACTCCAAACAATGAAAGAACAAAAGAACCTCAAAGATAATGTGATGGGAGAATAAATATTCTATTAGAGCATCCTTGAGAAACAAAGTTCTTAATCTTGGACATCCTCTTGTCTCATAAATGTGAAAAAGTTGATGTTTTTGCTTTGAACCAATTGAATTTGAGAAGAGCAAGGATTGAACTTTTTTTCCAAAACTTATTATGAAGATTAATAACATACATGAATAACAAAGTTTAAAAAGTATGTATAAATTTCCAAATTAGCAAAGTGTAATTAGAATTCTCCCTAACGGTTCATTTGGTTGAAAAGATTTCCCAAATAATAGAGGGAAAAACAGAAAAAGTTTCAAATTTTACACTTTTTTCTTATTGTTCAGTTTGTTCCAAGAAAAGGAAGGAGAGAACTAATATACATATATTTATTATACTTCTACCCGATCTCACAACATCAAAAAAAGGCCTTTTATCTTTCTTTTCTTTCTCTTATTTTAAATGTTTTAATATTTTCACAAATTAACATCTATTAATTATTAAATTTAAATATTTATTTATATTTAAATAATATGACATTTAATAATATGATATTTAAAAATAAAATAATTTAAAAAGTCATATAAATAAAATTTATTATTAAAATAAATATCAATTACTCATTAAAATATACACAAATAAATATTTTTTTATTTTTAATTTTTATTTCTACATATTATGTCATTGAATATTAAGTCACTTAAGTAGTGATAACTAACTGAATAGTGTTAAAATTAACAATCAACAATTATTAAATTAATTGTAAGATCAACAAATTTAAATTTTATAATTATTTAGCAGAATAAGAGTGATTAGCTTGAATTTGATTTTATAGTTGTCTCTTGTCTTCCTCTATTTTTCCTTTTATTGTATATAAATAAAATAATAAAAATACATGTCCTCAGAAAATAAAAATATAATGTGTGAGTTTATAAAGTGTGAAGGAATGATCGGCCCCATTGCAAGTGGGCTGGGAAACGGGGTGTGTAGGGGGTCCATTGTGGAGTGATGAGTGTGACCCGTTACGAGATTATGAGCTACCAATCACCAAACCCAAACAAACCACGATAAACCATCCATCCATGGCCTCTCTTCTTCTTAGACAGGCTCTGCTGCTCCGCGTTTGCTTCCATAACTACCAACGCTTCGCCGCCGGAGCCGTCGCCGCGCGTCACCGCCTATGGTGCAGCGCCGCCGCCAACTCTCCCTCCGACAAGGCGGACGACAAAACTAGCTCCGCCAGCATCGGCAATGCACGGAAAGCTCTTTTCCCGCCAAGCCAGCCGCGGTGGGAGGACGAGCCCGATTATCGGAAATGGAAGGACACCGAGGAAGCGATTCTCAAGGACATTGAACCCACCGTTTTGCTCGCCAAGGATATTCTCCACTCACGAAGGTCACTTCTTAATTTCATTTCTATAAATTGCATAACAAAATTTTCAAGTGATTTTTATTTTGCAGGTATATGGATGGAGCGCGATTGAGTGCGGAGGACGAGAAAGTTGTTGTTCAGAAGCTCCTTGCTTACCATCCACACTCTGAAGATAAGATTGGATGCGGACTTGAATCCATTATGGTAAGCTCAACCTCTGACCAATATGTTTCTTGTCATGTCATTGCATTTCATTGGTGCCTTTACTTTGAACATGTTTGGATGCTTAAACTACTAGGTTCTAATGGTGAGGGGATGAAGTAGAATGTACATAGTCTTTGATTCGAATCCTGGTGTCATCTTCGTAATTTTCATAAATAAAAAAAAATAAAAAGCACTTTTCAAAATGCTTCTAAATTTGTATCTAAACAAATTCCTAGCATTATTTTATCAGTCCGACTTCTGACTGTGGTTCTCCTAACTCCTAAATTATCGACGAACTGCTCGTAACTTGTAATACAGTAATAGTGTGTTTGAAACCCGCTTGTTGCTATATTTGGCAAATGGTAAGATTATATGTTTCTTATCCCTTTCGTATTCAAATAAACACCTTTTACCCTGATTTTAATTTATATCAATTTTGACTGGGATTTTCTAACACTTTCATTGTGTTTGGTGGCTTGACTTTCATCTACACCCATCTGGACTAGTTTTTCCCCCCTTGGGAGGGCGTGTGCATGTCTCACATATCAGTTGAAGCAAGGATGATCAGTTTATATGATATTTTTTAAGCTATATTCCTTTTATAATAATATTGATACATAATTGTATATAGCTACCCCTGCGATGGTGTTGCCAGTATTTGGTGTATTATGATGGAAGCCTTATCTTTGTTATGAATGACTTAATTTGGGGATATTGCATCTTAAAATTTACGCATACTACTTATCTTGATTTAGATAGTGCTCATAGCACTTGTATCTTGTATTTGTGCAGAAGAATATATAAATTTAAAGCAAAGGCTGCCACTATATTAGAGCTTAGTTTGAGCACAATGGTTTTGTGAGCAGTTAGAATCTGCACTGCTGTCTCTCCGTAAAACCATGGTTATTTCAAGCCTGACCAGGCAAGTAGACATCTGGTTTACTTCTGTAAGATACTGAAAATACATATAAAATTCTCTAAAACTGCCAATAAGGGTTGGTTCAACTTGTAAGATTGAACAATGTCAACTAGAAGGTCATGGACTCATGGGTTCATCTTTTTTCATTGTCCTTAATTGAAATGTCATTTGTATGTACCACTATAAGCCCCTGCCGAGTCTTCTGGCTTGTACCTTAGAATAGGGCTCCTTCCCCTAAACATTTTTGTCTACCGAGAAAACCAAACCTTATTGCATTGACTTTTCATGTTGGTTTTGTACATTGTTCCTTTTGTTATATCTTTTCAGTCCAGGGCTATTTTAGTTTTTTTCCCAATAACGGTGTAAATTTTGTGGGGTTTAGGGTTTAGATAGGTGAGAAATCCATTGGATTAGCTGGGGTAAGCTTTGTTAGCAAAGGAGGTAGGTGGAGTAAGTTTCCAAGATATAGTTTTAATTTGGTAATGTTGACTAAAATTGGTCGGAGACTCTTCTTGTTACCCAGATACTACTTACTAAAATTTTGAGGGCCAAGTACTATTCCTTCAATTTACCCATATGCAACTGTTCACTGCTTCCTAACAGCTACTGTTCACTTAGGTTTATAAATACCCAATGAAGTATGAACCTTTAATCCACTTATTCTCTACCACTAATCATTCCCCAATCCGGACTCATTAACTCCAAACCCCTTACAGATAAGTTTGTTTTAAAGCACAGACAGACATATATTCAGGCCTTTCATTAGATTTTGTTTAACTTTTTGGTTATTGCTAACTATTGGCTTCCTCCCTTAAGCAAACAATTGCGGAAAGTATACCAATCACCACATGTAATATGAGTAGAGTATCATTTTCACAGAGACTTTTGTGTCAATTGCCAGTGATACCACTAACTGTCAAGCTATTGCAAGTTGAACTAACCTTGATATGCAATAGAATGAATGAAATGCAAGGAATTAGGAAACACGCAATATTAAGTGAAAACTATGAATGATTAAAAGGTTAAGCATTGGAATCCTTCTCCCTTCACTTAAACTAATCTCATGACTCTTTGATTACAGCCAATTCCATTCGATTATCATTTGAGTGCACTAAAATAGGTAGAATCCAATTCCTCCGTGAAAACCCTTTTTCTTTTATTAGAATCCTAATTCTCTCAGTGAAACTCAATTAATTCGAAATATTAAGCTCAATAACTCATAAGTATGAACATGAATTAGATTCAATTCCTAGATATCCGAAACATATAGTTCATAATCCAAATCTAGCATTATATCCAATTTTCATTGCTATACAAAGCCAAAGCATCAATTCAATGGTGATCAATCAAAGAAAAGCATTTAGAGCAAAATTAGAAACATAGATTGAATGACATTAATCTAAAATCTATAAGAGTAACCCAATTACATCAAGGTTCAGTAGAATTGATCCTAACTTAACCTAGGGAAACTTAGAAATACATGATAAAATGAACAAAAACAAGAAAAATGGAGAGGTGAGAAAAAAAGGATGCATGATGCCTGAAAGAACTATTCCTAGCATGAGGCTCCAATGGAAGAGGCAGTATTGGAGTGATAAGAGTAACTTCCTGTGCAAAACAGTTTGAAGTTCAGGCCTGAATCATGCTTTTATATTGGTTCTATTTAACTATCATTGCTCAGCAAAGGAAAGCCATCGCAGGGTGATTTTATTGCAGAGGAAGAGTATCAGATCATCGCTGGGCAAAAATGTGATAGAGGTGAAATCCTGGAATTTTCCTGGTGAAGGAGAAACTCACTTAGCAACGGCATGATTGAACAGATTTTGCATGGCAAGAAGATGTTTCTCTTAGTGAACCAATGTTCAGATAAAAATGTCAAATATATATAAAAGCTAAGCTAAACAAAGGTTTAGGAAGACTCTTAGTACTAATATTTATCCTCAAATACTTCTAAAATGTTCCATTCTAACACATTAACATGATAGTTCATCAATTTAGCCTAAGAAATCTACATGTGTTGTAGATTTATCACTAACCCTAAAGAAATACATTTCGAGACATGTCTCATATAGGTGATGATGAAAACCTGTTACTGTTAGAGAAAAAATGGCATTTAATTGTCAATTATGAATTGAAAGATATAAGAAACTCTCTACATCAATGCTACAATTATAGTGCATGTCTTTTTTTTTTTGTGTGCGTGTGTGTGGGGGGGGGTTTAGGGTTTAGGTGCCTTGATTAAATTAAATGCCTAAACACTGGAATTTGGAATAAAATTTTTAAACCATTGGTAACTTTCCCTCCATTCATGTAGAACAATTTGGTGACCCAACTTAAAGGGCTACTTTCTTTCTTCTCTATCATTAGGCCAGAACTACAATATGCAAAATTCAAGTTGATGCTTATTTGCAGTCTGTTGCCAGGGTAATTTAGTAATTTCTATGAATTAATACTATATATTTAAATATTTGTACATTATATCTTTTTGATAAATCTTCAGATTAATGTGCAAGTTATGTTAAAAGATCTTGGCTTTAATTGAGCTTCATCCCCCTTTTCTACCCCAAAAAAGTATTAGGCTTAATTGTACTACATTTCCCTGATTTAATTGTGAAGTTTTACCTTGTAGTTTTCAAATTGATCCAAGTAACAGTAACTCCCCTTCTCGTTTCATTATTAAAGAGATTCTCTTTTGATTGTAAGCAAAATCATCAAAAAGAGTTCCACAGAATTGAATTTGATTTCTTGCCAGCAAAAAAACAAGATGTTTTCATGCAGCAAATTCAATGTCCTATCATTGTCAAACTGACAGGTCTTAATTTATCAATATTAAAACTACATGGATAACATTATAGAAATTAAAACAAGAAGGGTGAAAATCAAATTTTAACGAAAACAAGAGGAACAAAAGTGTAATTAAACCAAAATGTTAAAAATTACACAATGATTTTATATGACATGCGGTTCTGTCAATTTTGTGCTCCGAAAGGTGTTAAGATTTATTTCTTTCTATCTGTTTTTTGCCAATGCAAACCTATTTTGAATCAGCTGTTATCTTGTATTACCAGGCTAGGTTACCACTCACCACTTCAATTAGATCAAATTTTTATATTCTAGTCAGGGATGAACGTTATTATATTCTTCACAGTTCACACCAATTACATCATCCTACAGCTACTTGTAGTGCTGAATACGTATCATAACAGGCTCCTATCGTCACAGATGTACTGCCACATAAACACCAAAATATTTCTCCTCACATATTCCTCTAACATGCACAATCATCTAAGTTAGCAGGTTTCCTAGAGCTACGGATGGGCATCACAGCTCATGTATGACCATAACAATTAGGCTGGACCTCCCTTTGTATATTAGACTGATAAGTGTTGGGCCGACCTTATCCGTTCTTATCATATTCTTATTTACACTATTAAAAAAGATATACTCTTGTGCATTTGTTGGCTTGGTAATTACCCTTTATTGACCAAATCATGTTTATGCGGATTGGTCAAAGTCAGACATGAAAACAAGAGTCCATTCTTAGACGATACCTGAAAGTTTGTCTCCCACATCCAACTATTGTGAAATATAACACTTAAAATTTGGATTTCACCTTACCCTTTACAATTTGTTTTAATGTGATTTGGGGTTTGATTATCAGTTCTGTAAACTATCCCCCTCCTTTTCAATTGAATTTCGATAACCAAGGACATAATTAATCCAGTGGGATTCCTCCTTTTGAGGAGCCATATCCTTTTATTTAATTATCAAATTCTTTGTTTTTTCATACCCATTTCATATTTTATTAAAATATATATATTAACCGACCTCAAGACTGTCGAACTTCAGCTATTATTATTTGTATTTGCTTGTCCATGATCTGTTCAGAGCAGACAGCCAGTGCAGGATATGAATGTGTGACTTCCTCTCTTGTAGGTTGACCGTCATCCCCAATATCGACAATCAAGGTGTCTTTTTGTTGTTAGAACTGATGGCGGCTGGATCGATTTCTCCTATCAGAAGTGCCTTCGGGAATACATTAGAGATAAGTACCCTACTTATGCGGAAAGGTTTATTCGACAACATTTTAAGCGTGGGAGGATGTATATATAATGGAATTTGTTTACTTTGGTGTGCTGACTACTTTTTACATCTGCTTTCCCCATTATTGATCAGTGGCCTTACCTACATTGTCAATGGCAGTGGATAATTATTGACTGAGATATCGAGCTTATAATGAAAGGAACACAGAAAATTATTGAAGTGAGCTTCACTTTGTTGACTTCTAGATCCCTTTTTTGGTGATACAAATTGGTGGTTAGGTAACTGGTTTCAGTAAGGAATGGAATTTAGTTGTTTACTTTAACCACCTCTGCTATAATATTATAAGATATTAACTAGAATTCAAGCATTTTCTTTTTAATATTGCATGGTCTTTTCTGTTCAGCATTGCATTTTTAAACCCTTAATTATTGGATGATGCTTTTACCCGAATGTGGATTCATTCCCAAAGATTCAGAGAACCACCATAACGTTTGCTGAAGGGTCCTCCTGGTGGCAAATGCAACTTTGGACGATGTAAAAAGCACCCGTATCTGTGAATTTCTGTAAAATGAGGGGGAAGCTTAGGATTGTACAACTGTTCCCATTCTGGATTATGTATATTGCTTTAGGTGTCCTATTTCCAGCTATATTAGTCACGGGCCATTCAGGAGTGGTTGATCGGACATGTACGGGTCAAAACTCAATAAGGGTCAAGCTCAGCTAGGTTTAGTAGGACTCTGCACAAGTCAAAACGGAGAGAAACTATGTCTGGCCTACTTTTAGATTTTTAGCTGAATATGTTTCTAAAGTCCAAGGCAATCATCTTTCTTTATGTTAGTTTTGATAATAAGTCATACACTCGAAGAAATTCCGTTATAGCAGTATGTCGTCATGCCCCAAGTGTTACAAGCATGATCCTTTGTTTAAATTAATTTTAAATCATTAAATGTAATTACATATGTTTTTAAATCTCAATCACAAATTTCACATTAGAACATTTGTCACGGCTAGAGGAATTTATTTCAGTAGTCTATTACACTTTACATTTACCAAAGGATCATTGAATTTAAACTTTGACCCTCTTTTCTTTATTCCATTTGAATCTATCCTAGTCGTTTATTTAATTTTTATTAATCCAATGATCAATATTTAAAGAGAACATGAAGGACCAAGTTTTAGAGAGTCCGTGTTGGACGGAGCTAATTTAATTTTTGTCGTCATTATATATGACAATGTAATATATTAATAATAACCAGCTGATTATTTTATATTTTATAATAAAATTTGTGTTTCGTGGGAAAGTGAAAGTACAGGTAAAAAGCAATTGGTCATGGAAACTTAGAAAGGTCATCGGCGTGGGGCATTACATTATATGGGGTGATAGTCATAGTAGTTAGGTTAAATATCTCTTTTCGTCCTTATAATATTTTTTTTATTTTAATTTAGTCTCACTTTAATTTTTTATTTCAATTTGGTCCCTAATAATTAAAATCATTGCAATTAGAAATCAGAACGGCCCATTCTGGATGCACACTTGGTGTGTTAATTTTACAACCGGAACGGGCCGTTTCAAATGCAAATTTAACACAACATGAGTGCAGCAGAACGGGTCGTTCTGAAACCAGAACGGGCAGTTCTGCTTCTAGAATGGGCCGTTCTGAATTCAAAACGGCCCGTTCCAGAATGCCAAATTTAACTACATAACTAGGATTCAGCATGCAACTCTCAACTCACAACTATGTTTTCTTCTCATACTACAACATTCATCATTTTTCAACATTTTATCATATATATCAATACACAACATTTTTGTCGCATAATACATCTCATATTGCATATTTAAAATTCATAAATCATGCCAAATTACTCAATATAACAACATAAATAAATTTAAACACCCAAAACAACTATCAACTTAACCAAATCACTCATTGTGAAATGACAACCTTCACATAAAACAACGTATCGGGAGTTATAATATTCCTATCATTCTCATCCTTATCTCATATGAAAGATAAGAAGATTTCCTACAATTCTTATGAAGACATCAAGTCATAATTTCGTCATTTACTTTGTTAAAAACTATAAAAATAGCAACAGTTATAACCAATGCTAACAGCTTGACTCCTGTTCACAAAAATAGTCATATCTGGAGTTCTAGACCTCCTTTTTGGGTGATTCTAACGCCATTGGAAAGCTAAGATCAAGGCTACAACTTTCATGAAAACCACAATGTCAAATTCTAAAAGCACAAAAGTGTTCAATGCCTCCAAAGCGCTCAACACTTTACCTCCAAGAGTTTTCCCCTGGCACGCAGCCCCCAAAGGGCTCGATCATTGATGACAGAAACACACGGGTTCTTCACCATTTTCACCAAAACCAAAAATGCAAATGCACCCAAAAGATATAGAATCGTCAATACAAGAAGGCCTAGCACAAGAAATCATACATTTTCAACACACAACACAACATGCAACTTATAAATCATCAAAAACACCACATGCAAACCTTAAACAACACAAATCCATCACATTTTCAACTCTTCCCAAAAACTCAACTTTCCAACTCTATTTCTCAACCATGCTTGATAATCCTACATGTTTCTACTTGAAATCAGCTCAACAATGCAACATTATAAATTTTTACTCCATATTTCTAGCTTCCCTTACCCTGGAGAAGAAGAATCCGAGCTTCGGGGAAGAAGAGAACAAGCTTCCACATGACTTCAAATTTTCCCAAACTTTAAGCTCTTTGGCAACAAAAGCTCAGCTTCTCCTCAACTCAATCTTTAGAAAAGAAGAAGAAGAGGAGAAAAAGATTTGGTTTCAACTAAGGACGAAGAAATGAAAAGTAGAAGGAAGAAAGGAGTTGTGGGACTTACAAAATGGATAGAGAAAGGGAGGGAGAAAGGGGGAGAGAGAGGGGGGAGTGGAGGGAGGGAGAGATACACACATTTAATAAGTGAAAAGTACGTACATGTATTTAATTTTGGGGGTAAAATGTTATTTTGTGTATTTTTTTGAAAAAAAACATTTAATTTGATATATTATAATAATTTGTATTATATATTGACATGTATATCAATATTAATTTATTAATTAAAATTTTTAATACATATTTATTTATCCACATTTGTATTTTTACATTCTATTTATAGTAATCTATATTTTTTTGTGCACCAGAAACTTTACTAGTGTAAAAAACTTGAGTTATTATCTTATATTTAAAGTTTGATGAATTTTTTATATTTTTAATTTATATATTAATATTTTTATTATTTCTTTGTATATTATTCTACTGTAACTTGTAGTCTAGTATATTATTATTTGATTATACATATAATGTTGAAATAATATTATTGTATTTAATACGTGAGATGAAAAGATGTATATAAATTTCAGTTATGGGCTTACAGTTTTGTTGGTTTCTTTAGGGGGTTTTGGGTACATGGGATAAGGAGTAAGAAATTAACTTGAAATTTACGTAGGAGCCTGAAAAGTGTAGTTAGTGCTTAGCGGTTTCCAATAGTAGTAAAGTAGCTGAATGACAAAAAAATGGATTGTATCATATAATTGAGGTATTTGAAAGATAATTAAGATAAAGTGAAAAAAAAAAAGAGTCAACTAATGAATTTTTAAATGATGGAAATTTAAAATTTGTAAATATTTGTATTAATTTAAGATTATTATTTAATTTTAACATATTTTCTTAATAATTATGAATTAAATAAAAATAAATAAATACTTCTTAAAAAGGATGGATATGTGGGTGAAGCTTGCCGGCAAGTGGATACACTCTAAAAAAGAGTGTAGGTAATCGTCCATCCAAAATGATTTTCAAAATGATTTTAGTTTTAGTATTTAATTTTTTTAAAAAATAATTGATGTCTTTAATTTTTAATATAATATGAAACTCTCCTAATTTATTTCATATAAATTACATTAATTATAAGTAGATTGTTAATTATACAAGTATGTATATTTATAAGTAAATATTAATTAAATATAATATAATTATTATTATTATTGGTAATATAATTATTATATATATTTTTATATTTTTATAGCGGTCAGAACATACCAAAATGAGAGGGATCCAAAAATAGTATAAGTATGAGATTGTACTTAAATGAATTAATTTGTACTACTTATACTGATAACATGCATTAGCTCTTCTGTAGCCTATCTCATAAGAACTCCACAGTTAAGCGTGCTTGACCTGGAGTAGTATAGGGATGGGTGACCTTCTGGGAAGTTTCCCAGAAAATGTGCAATAAGGACAAAACATGTTGAAAAGTGAAGTGTAATGAAATAGCATCCTTGAGAGGCTAAATATGAGGGTTATTACTTTAATAAATTTATTAAAATTAAATAAAAATTTCCTGAAACGAGTTATCTACGGAAAATTCCGTAGATAATGTTCCGTAGATAATGTTATCTACGGAAAATTCCGTAGATAACGTTATCTACGACCATTTTATCTACGAATTTTTTTCCGTAAATAATCCGTAGATAATTGACATTTATCTACGGATTTTTCCGTAGATAATCTTGATTTTTCTTGTAGTGGAGATCAACTAAGTCCTAGAGGAGAACAACACATCATCCACTCCAAGGGACAACTTTCCAATAAGGGTTTTTCAACAAATTGGGCTCTCAGAACACCACAACTATCTCAATCCACACAATGGGATTAGCAACTTCGAAAACATCTCTTCTAGTTCTAGTGATCAACAACTCATCATCACAACACAATCAACACAGTTTTCAACTCATCATCTCAATCAACTTTCAACTTGAACAATACAGTTAACTCACAACTTTAACAATACAATTTATCAACACAACAACTCATCAACATTGTTTAACAACACAACAACTCATTCAACTCATATAACATCTTTACACAACTACATAACTAGGATTCAGCATGCAACTCTCAACTCACAGCTATGTTTTCTTCTCATACTACAACATTCATCATTTTTCAACATTTTATCATATATATCAATACACAACATTTTTGTCGCATAATACATCTCATATTGCATATTTAAAATTCATAAATCATGCCAAATTACTCAATATAACAACATAAATAAATTTAAACACCCAAAACAACTATCAACTTAACCAAATCACTCATTGTGAAATGACAACCTTCACATAAAACAACGTATCGGGAGTTATAATATTCCTATCATTCTCATCCTTATCTCATATGAAAGATAAGAAGATTTCCTACAATTCTTATGAAGACATCAAGTCATAATTTCGTCATTTACTTTGTTAAAAACTATAAAAATAGCAACAATTAATTTTCCATGTTCCAACCTTTCCACACACTAAACCAAGCACACTTAAAACCAATGTGTGCCATGTAGCTTACCTCAGAACCAGTGTAGCCACTAGCTCCAAGAACACCAACACGAACTGCATTTTGTGAAGATGGGTTCCCACTCTTGCTCAAACACTTCACAAGTAGCTTCCCATCTTGTTGCTTTGTCACCTTTCCAAACTCCTGAAAACTACCAACCAACAACATAAAATTGGCGAATCAATCACATTTATCCACCAAAAAAGAATAAGAAAAAGTGAAAGAATTAAAACAAAACATAAATTATTATGATTATTCTGCAAACTACAAAACAAATAAGAGGGTACCTTGGGGTTGTTCCAACAGCAAAAATAGTCATATCTGGAGTTCTAGACCTCCTTTTTGGGTGATTCTAACGCCATTGGAAAGCTAAGATCAAGGCTACAACTTTCATGAAAACCACAATGTCAAATTCTAAAAGCACAAAAGTGTTCAATGCCTCTATAGTTTTTAACAAAGTAAATGACGAAATTATGACTTGATGTCTTCATAAGAATTGTAGGAAATCTTCTTATCTTTCATATGAGATAAGGATGAGAATGATAGGAATATTATAACTCCCGATACGTTGTTTTATGTGAAGGTTGTCATTTCACAATGAGTGATTTGGTTAAGTTGATAGTTGTTTTGGGTGTTTAAATTTATTTATGTTGTTATATTGAGTAATTTGGCATGATTTATGAATTTTAAATATGCAATATGAGATGTATTATGCGACAAAAATGTTGTGTATTGATATATATGATAAAATGTTGAAAAATGATGAATGTTGTAGTATGAGAAGAAAACATAGTTGTGAGTTGAGAGTTGCATGCTGAATCCTAGTTATGTAGTTGTGTAAAGATGTTATATGAGTTGAATGAGTTGTTGTGTTGTTAAACAATGTTGATGAGTTGTTGTGTTGATAAATTGTATTGTTAAAGTTGTGAGTTAACTGTATTGTTCAAGTTGAAAGTTGATTGAGATGATGAGTTGAAAACTGTGTTGATTGTGTTGTGATGATGAGTTGTTGATCACTAGAACTAGAAGAGATGTTTTCGAAGTTGCTAATCCCATTGTGTGGATTGAGATAGTTGTGGTGTTCTGAGAGCCCAATTTGTTGAAAAACCCTTATTGGAAAGTTGTCCCTTGGAGTGGATGATGTGTTGTTCTCCTCTAGGACTTAGTTGATCTCCACTACAAGAAAAATCAAGATTATCTACGGAAAAATCCGTAGATAAATGTCAATTATCTACGGATTATTTACGGAAAAAAATTCGTAGATAAAATGGTCGTAGATAACGTTATCTACGGAATTTTCCGTAGATAACATTATCTACGGAACATTATCTACGGAATTTTCCGTAGATAACTCGTTTCAGGAAATTTTTATTTAATTTTAATAAATTTATTAAAGTAATAACCCTCATATTTAGCCTCTCAAGGATGCTATTTCATTACACTTCACTTTTCAACATGTTTTGTCCTTATTGCACATTTTCTGGGAAACTTCCCAGAAGGTCACCCATCCCTATACTACTCCAGGTCAAGCACGCTTAACTGTGGAGTTCTTATGAGATAGGCTACAGAAGAGCTAATGCATGTTATCAGTATAAGTAGTGCAAATTAATTCATTTAAGTACAATCTCATACTTATACTATTTTTGGATCCCTCTCATTTTGGTATGTTC